GATTTTTTAGAAAAAAAAAATTTTAAACTAAACAATTTATTTCAGAAATTTTTAACTACCCGATATCTTAGTGGTTTCTGTATTGCTTTCAATGTGCAAACACAACACTGAGAACAGTACAAAAAGAGAAAATCAATTACGAATTGTACAAATTGAGGTCAAAAGTTAATGCTTCAAATAAATTATAAACGAAAAGAAAAGAAAAAAAAAATACATATATATATATAAATAAACAAAAAATTTGTACATTGACTAGATGAAGAAGATTTTTTGTTTCTTATTCCTGAACTTCTACATTGTTACAGAGAAGTTAAGAGCTGAAACTATTTTGGAAGATTCAAAATGAATTTTGAACTTTACAACCATAATGATACGCTGATGCTCGAAATATTTCGGCTGCTTCTGGTTCACAGTGTTCATCCATTTTTACTTCTAAGCATTTGTAGTATAATTGTATTCGAACACATTTCTCCTAAAAAAAAATGTCAGCATTTTTGTTCTTGTTTTTTTTTGACGAAAGCTTTAAGAACACAGTAGAAAACCTAAATATATACTTCTCTTAGTTTCCCAGTCAACCAGATGCCCATCATTAAAACTACCGTTATTAACTTTGTTAGTGTTCTGTTCTTTTCCTTTTCCGTTTTACACTTTTTTTTTTTGCAGAGCAATTAGTATAAGATTTGTCTAAACTTAGTAAAATAGACAATAAATAGAAATTGTTTTTTCAAAAAAAAAAAAGATTTTTTTTTTTAAAATTTTTCACGTACAAAATGAGTGCCTAAAAAAAATAACTGAAAAAAAAAAAAGAACAAAAAAAAAAAGAAAATTATTTAAATTATTTATTACTAAAGCATAAATTTTTACTAAAAATAATAATGACAGTTGTCATTCAGCTAAAATATGCTAAATAAGTAACAACTTCCTCTCTGCTTATTCTTTTATCTGCTTATCAAAGATTACAAATGGAAATGACAATTAGCAGTAAATCAATGATAAAAGGATCAATTTTTTTACCTGATCTGTTAGTTGATGAGGTGTCATGATGAATTGTTGGCAGTATTCTGGTGCATTGTCTTCAAGCTTTGAAATACAGTTATGATGTTTCAAAAAAATTCGTAAATTTTGTGGATTACAGACGTAACCAAAGTGACGTTCAGCAAAATAGTCCTGTAAGTAGGATGTTGAATTGTCTCATCAATCAGTTTTGTTTATTCACTGCATCTGTATTTAGTCCAATATAGCAGCCTTAGTAGTAATTAGGTCGACAATATAAAAGATTGCAAATGGAAAATAACTATTTTTTAATAATTTTAGAGCAACTAATATTAAGAAAAAACAAAAGTAGTGTAACCTTAAGAAAAAAAAAATTAACACAAACTTTTGTGCAACAGAATTTATTTATCTTAATCGTTTTTATTTTTTTTGGCTATTTCTATCAGTAACAACTGTAAATAGTCTGTTATTGCAGTCCAACAAGTTGCTTCAGATTTTGCACTCTTATTCCTAATGCTGCTGCTAAAATCTTAGCGTCTTTATTCAGACTAACAAAAGCAGTGTTTTAAACCTAATTAGCAAAATTAAAGTTTTCAGATTTGTCAACTTGAAAGCATATTCAGATCTGCAGAAACTTTCTTAGAACGTCAATTTTAAAAACATTCACATTTGACAACTACTTCTTAACTTGACCTTTCTGACTCAAACGATAAATTTTTCATCTCAAGTGCAAACTTTAACCAAATATTGATCTTCTCTAGAATAAGTCAGCATTTTAGGTATAATAATGGTTAACCAGTTTATTAATCAGTTTAGTGCACAAAAACAAACCAGTAAATCGCTTCTACATCTTTTGTTTCTTTGAAAACCATCGCACAGGAAGACGTTCATATAATCGTCGCAAAGCTCCAATGTATCACTTTTTGTATATTGAAACAGTGGAAAGAAAGACTAAAATTAGCCAAATTGGGTTCAGTCAGGTATATCAATTAACTGCTTATGCATTACAGTCAAACTGAGTTCTTTTTTTGACTTTAACTAATTGAAGCAATTACAGACAATTACCTGTTTTATGTCCATTTTTTCATTTCTAATTTTGTACCATCGTTTCAACAGCGGAATCATACAGTGTTCAATTTCTATCGTTGAATTTTCGTTACATTCAGTCAGTACACCACCTTCTAATGTTATCCATTCTTGTCGAGTTCTATGCAACGATTTTATAATGCTGTTCAACATTTCTTCTCTTCTTTTTATTTCTACGTTATTACCAACTTCTCTATTGCTCATATAGTCGATGTTTGATCTTACAGACGAATCTTCGATGTTGGCTTGCAGAGCCTCAATGGCTGCACCAAATTTATGGTTTTCATCTCGAACGGCTGTTTCCGGAAATCCCCACAGGTCTTTACTGAATTTTAGGGTTTCTGTCGGTAATATATCAGTACTGTTGATTACTGCCGACAAATTTAACAGTACGGTACCTGCAGCAGAAACTGTTAACGGCTCAGAAACACCTGGTATTTTTTTTACTGGCGCTTCATTATCATCTTTTGACGATTCAATTGTCGGACTTTTGGTAGAACTTTCAGCAACTTCTAGTGGTACAGTATGCGTAGGCTGTAAAACTGTATTTTGCATTTCTTCAACACTGTCTGCAATATCTGTCATCATACTGGAATCATCAGATTTTTCCTCTTGTCCTGACCAATCTTCTTCGTTTTCATCACTGAGACCAATTTGTAGCACTTTTTTGTTAATCTTTTCATCGTTGATAACATTCATGTTGGCTTGATCGTGTACCATTTGCATTTCATCTGTAGAAATATTTGAATGATTCTTTCTGAAGTCGTTAAAGTCAAAATTACTTGACTCCGTAATAGTGAAATTCTCTGATGTTGCATTATTGGTCAATATATTTGATTGTTTACCTGGGTGAGTATATAAATCTGTAATAAATAAAATTTTTGTTTATTGTAAACTTAAAATTACTGATAAAAAGTTGAACACATACTTAGAGTTGTGTCAAGTTTCATCTTCAAATTATCAAAGCAATTCTAAAGCAACAAAAAAGTTTTTCAAATATCTGTTTAGGTTTTATGCTTAATTTTTTTTTTTTT